AGCTTTGCGCGAAATCCGTAACAAACAAACAGATTGGGTTGAGGAAGATGACTGAAGCCACCGTCATGCCTTGAAAATAATATGTACTGTTTGAATATCATTGTGGAATAAAGTTGGACAATATCTGCAGAACTATTTCAATATCAACAATGTTGGACTACACAAGCACTATAACTTATTTCAATGTTTTGTTTGTTTGTTTTCCTTTTGGCCTGGCATGACCTGGTGGTCACAACTTGTGGGTCGGGTGTTCGAATACCCGTCACCGAAATGTTCTCCCTTTCAGCCATGAGAGCGTTAATAATGTGATAGTCAATCCCACTATTCGTTGGTAAAAAGAGTAGCCCAAGAGATGGCGGTGGGCGGTGTTCCCTCTAGTGTTCCCACTGCTAAATTAATTAATTAAAAAAAAACAAGTCCTATCAATGTTTTGGAATAATTTTGGACAACACCTCTAACTGTTGGAATAATACTAGTACGTTTAAATATTTCATGTGGTCTTGTCCTAAGTACTTTTACCCTACTATCGGGAGTGAAAATGACATAAAATGTTTCATCAAGCCAATTTATAAATTTCTGGTTATTCATAGCCAATACTTTTCTCTGTAATACCATTTAAAACGTCCTCCTGATTACATCTGAGGCGACCAACGTTTGAACTGGTTTTCGATTGTAAGATCACCTTTGTTATAATGTCCCTCGCATGGTACAGTTGAACCCTAGTTACATTTGATCAGACCTGTAAAGTGGGTCAGAATATGTTGACTGGTTCACTTAATAATCCTATGCAGCCAGCTTTTTCTTTGACCAGCAGTTAGCACCCACAGTTAGTTTTCCCCATGACAATTGATTTCAATTTATTACTGTCACAGAAGTGTTCTTTAATACCAGCACTGCAGCTAGATAAGCACCCATTATTACCCAACTTTAAAGTTTAACACGTCCGTGCTTTCGGTGATTGTTCTACGGGCTAACTGTAATATGGCTAAATGTATGAAGTTAAAAGTATCAAGTTGTTACTTGATATACCATATGACCAGCAGGTATTTAGTATTGGAAGAGTGCTGGTGGATATATCATATGATCGGCAGGTATTTAGTACTGGAAGAGTGCTGGTGGATATATCATATGATCAGCAGGTATTTAGTATTGGAAGAGTGCTGGTGGATATATCATATGATCAGCAGGTATTTAGTATTGGAAGAGTGCTGGTGGATATATCATATGATCAGCAGGTATTTAGTATTGGAAGAGTGCTGGTGGATATATCATATGATCAGCAGGTATTTAGTATTGGAAGAGTGCTGGTGGATATATCATACGATAAGCAGGTATTTAGTATTGGAAGAGTGCTGGTGGATATATCATATGATCAGCAGGTATTTAGTATTGGAAGAGTGCTGGTGGATATATCATACGATCATCAGGTATTT